CGCTGTACAGCGCCAGTGTAGCCAAGGCCTCAGTGACAATAGCTCTTGAGCTCCAACTCTGTGTTAGCCTGAATATCTCAGAATGACACATACTGTGTTGTTTTATTGTTTAATTGAGCTCCTTTTCTATAATTAGCTAGCAGATAAAGAATTTTTCCAAGACTTCACTAGTACACCTTTTGCTTTGTATAATAACTGAAATTGTTTTGTCTTAATGATTTTGCCACAAATATTAATACTTGAACCATTTAAAAAATTATTAAAGGTTAAAATTGCTCTGCGCACCTCAGGACACTTGCTTTTGGGAGTGGTGCGAATCTATCATAGGAAGGCAAAGTACCTCTTGGCAGACTGCAGTGAAGCTCTAGTGAAAATGAAGATGGCCTTTCGTCCAGGTATGTACCGAATTCTGCTCTATTCCTAAACATACCATTGAGTAATTATATGATCTTTCTCAAGTCCTTTAACCTTTTTATGGTCTAGGGCAGGTCTACACTTAAACTGTGACACTCTATACCTCGGGGGAGTGCCCCGTAACCCCCATATTCATCATTTATATATAATTGTGATATTTCACCTAAAGCATGCCATGTGATCTATCAAGGGAAAGGTTATGATCTGCTGCAAGCCATTGTTCTATCTAAAAGTCCCATCAGCAGTGCTGCCTGGCTAAGGAAGGTTAGTCCTTACCTGTTCTGACACCGCGCTGTGCCCGGAAGTGGCCAGCAGCAGGTCCGGCTCCTAGGCAGGGGGGCCACAGGGCTCCGCGCACTGCCCCCGCCCTGAGCACCAGCTCTGCACTCCCATTGGTTGGTGGGGTGGCGCCTGCTGGCGAGAGCTGCGCGGAGCCACTTGCGCGCCTCCGCCTAGGAGCTGGACCTGCGGCTGGCTGCTTCCGGGCCGCAGCGCGGTCCACGGTGCCAGGACTGTCAGGAAGCCTGCCTTAGCACTCCTGATGTGCCACTGACCGGGAGCCGCCCGGGGTAATCCCGAGCCCATCCCACATCCCAAACCTCTCATTCCCAGCTCTGTTGGGTCGCAGGCATCAACAGTTTTCTTCAACTGAGTCGCCAGAAAAAAAGTTTGAAAACCACTGGACTAGGGGACGGGTATAAAACAGAACAGAGTGGCCCCATGGGTCTTGAGCAGTGCAAGATGGTATATTCCTGAATTACAAGGCTGGAAGCTGGGGGCATTTGGCTCATGCCTTTCTCTGTATGATTCATGAGTGGCTCTGGGAGCATTCATGCACTCTACCTGGGTTTGAGGCTCCACATGCAGTTGTGTTGAGTGATAACAGCACCTGGAGGGGTTTGCTGCTTGTCACTAGCAAAGCATTGCAAGAGACAGCCCAGGCTGGAGAGTTAAGAGGGGCACCGCAGTCCCACAATCCCAAGCAACACCCCAGGGATCCCGTCACATAAACCACTGCAGCGGCACAGCTGCAGTGCTTCAGTGAAGACGTTACCTATGCCAATGGGAGATGCTTCTCCAGTCAGTGCAGGTACTCCACCTCCCCGCGAGGTTGTAGCTATGTCAACAGGAGAATTCTCCTGTCAATTTAGCGTTGTCTATCCAGGGGATTAGGTCAGTTTCACTGCATCGCTCGGGATGTGGATTTTTCACACCCCTGAGCGATGTAGTTATGTCAACCTAATTTCCTAGGGTATACCTGGCCATAGTGGTTGTTAGTGGCCAAAATTTTCCATGATCTTTGAACAGTTGTTAGTTAGTAGTGTTATACCAATAAAAACTAGCAGGATCTTATTAAAGGGGACAAGATAAAGATGCCACATTTATTATGACAATTTGATTTTATCACAATAGCTAATATCGCAAACCTTATACTGGGATGTAATACCAAATGTCTTGTCACAAAG